ATTATAACTTCAGCTTAATAGCAATTATACAGGTTTCTACCAATACGTTATGGCTATGCAATAAATCTTAGCTATTCCTCCCTGTTCCAACAAAACCACGACTTTTCCCTAGAAAGACAGCCCAATATTAACCACCTCAGCCCCCAAGCTCAGGGAATAGGGGTGCCGACTCTTCATTAACTTCTTCAAGCTGATACGGGGCGTTGAGATATTAGAAGAGGGGCGGGGGAAAGAGTAAATTGATAAGCCTCTGACAACTGTGTCTTTAGTGAAAGGTTTTCTTAACCTGATTATTTGAAGCCATAAGACCTATCCTAAATGTGGGTATGACTCTTGGTGGCAACCCAGATGAAAGGAACATGGAAGAAGGAAAGTTCACTTTTTGCTGCTTGTTCTCACCCTTACTGGCAAGTCCGTCTGTCCTGTTGCTAAGGCATTCCTTCACTAATATTATAACCAACTTATATGAGATTCTAGTATAGACTGAAGACCAACAGCTCTCCAGGAATTCTCTAGGCCTTTAGCATCAGATTGGGACTCCAGAGATAACCAGTTTCATGGACTGAATAATTACTGGATTTCCAATCTTTTCATCATCACTCAGCCACTGTTGGACTACCCACCCGGACCACATTCTGTAAGCCAATCAAATAAATCCTCTGTGTCTGTGTGTGTTTGTAAGATAGATGAATATATATAATGAATATATACATATATGTGTATGTATATTTAGTCTATCAGTTCTGTTTGTTAGAGCACTGTGGATATTCCATATATATATATATATAACCCAGAAATAACTCAAGTAGGTATTTTGATAGCAAATTTCACTGTATCCACAAAATGGAATCTCATTAATAAAAAGGAGAGGACTTATGCATGTACATAATAAAACGATGAATCAAAACTATTAGGCTGAAGAAAGTTGTCACACAACAAAAACATGCATACTATATGATTTTATTTATATGAAACCTCAAAAAAGAGAATTCTCCAAAGCAAACCTGTGATGAGTGGGATGGCTAGAGACACTGTATGAGTAAAATTTTGGTGTATACACACATATGTACACCCTATATACATACATACCCACACACATATATACATATATATGCATGTGTGCATATATAAAGGTATACATTTATGTACGTATAAAGATTTTACTTATTTTTTTTGTGTGTGTGTATTTTCTATGGGTGTTCAGTTGCCCACAGAAGCCAGAAAAAAGTATGAGATTCCCCTGGAATTGGGGATACCCGTAGTTGTGAGCCACCTAATGTGGATGTGGAAAACAAATATCAAATTTTCTGGAAGAACGGTAAGTACTCTCACTGAGCCATTTCTCCAGCCCAGGTTAGTATATTATTTGAAGAAATTAGTTACATTTATCTATTTATGTGCAGTGTGTGTGTGTGTGTGTGTGTGTGTGTGCAGGTGGCACACAGGTACCATAGCATACATGTGGAAGTCAGAGGAAAATGTTTGGGACATTGTCTCTCCCTCCCATGTTGATCTTAGGGATCAAACTCTGGTCTTCAGGCTTGGTGACAAGAGACAGCTTACTCCACAGCTGTCTTCCGACATCTACTTGCACATCGTGTGCATTTATTCTCCCGCATCATGTCATACATATACACAAAATAATTTTTTAAAAGGAAGAAGAAAAGAAGAAAGAATAACAACAAAAAGAAAAAATACCATTGAAATTTCTTTTAAATTAATACATACCTCAGCTAATTTTCTATTGCTGTGACCAATATCTGAGTTGATCACATTTTAAGCATCCTTTTTCATATGTACGTTGGTTTGACTGAGGAACGTCCCCGATAGGCTCATCAGTTCCCAGTTGGTAGAACTGTCTGGGGAGTTCAGTGGATCCTTAAGCCTTTCTGGACAAGCAGGTCGTTGGGGGCGGATTTTGAGGGTTTATAGCATCGCCCCACTTCCTGATGGTTCTCTCTGCTTCCTGTGTGTTGTGTGATCAGCCAGCATCCTGTTCCTGCCACCCTGCCTTCCCTCCCCTGCTTAATGTCCTCTGACCTCCTGGAACCATAAGCTAAAATAACACTACTTAAGTTCCTTAGTGGAGGATAGTTATACTACCAGAAAAGTGACCAATACACCAATTAATCAATTGATCTGTTTTTGCGGTGTTGGGAATTGAACCCAGAATTTTGCACATACTAGGCAAGTACTCTACCCCCAGCTACAGCATCGTCAGCCAGGTATGCCGACTCTTTAGCTGCATTGCTTGTGTTATTACCTTGCCTGTTTGCTTTTTAAGCTTTTACTATGTTTGACAGTGTAGCACAGGCTGTCCCTGAACTCATGGTGTCCTCCCCAAGTGGTAGGATTACAGGCATATACAATCATACACGCCATTGTACCTGTTGCCTTCTTATTAATGGTCTGGAGATGCAGCCTTTTGCTGGACTCTTACATACAGCATAACAAGTTCAATGGGTGTGAGAGATGATTAGGAAAGGAAGTGTCTTTGAAGGTTCCTGGGGTCGGAAAGATGGCTCAGAGGGCTCAGATTCAGTTCCCAGCACCTACATCAGATGGCTTACAGCTGCCTATAACTCCAGCACCAAGGGATCTGAAACCTCTGGTCTTTGAGAACACAGCTCTCATGTTCAGATCCCCACACCCAGACAAACAGGTACTTTGAGAAATGAGCATATCTGTAAAGGGATTTGATTGGCACTGGAAAAGTTTGGTTTTCTTAAACAGGATGTCATTTAGCCCAGGCTGGCTTTAAAATCTCTATGTAGGGGCTAGAAAAATGGCTCAGCAGTTAAGAACACTGTTTCTACTCCCAGAGGACCTGGGTTTCATTCCCAGCACCCACAATCTTCTGTAACTCCAGTTCCAAGGGTCAGACACTCACTTCTGGTCTCTGTTGTTACCAGGTACAAAATCAGTGCGCAGACATACATGCAGGTGAAATATCTCTATATGGAAACATAAAAATAAACAAATATTATTTATTTCAGGCTTGTGCCACCATGCGCAGTTTATGTTAGGCAAGTACATGTTAGGAAGGCTCTGTACCGGCAGAGATACACCCTTGGCCTGAGCTCACTTTTTTAATGGGCACTTGCCCGTCCCTCTGGGCTCCACCCATGGCCAAGTTCATTTCCCATGGCTGCTCAGGGTCTGTGATGATGACTGCGTCATCTCTGTGGGATACCTCGTCATCAGTACTCATGGGGACTTCGGCTGGATGTACCCTTCCAGTGGAAAGGGAAGACGCTGCCTGAGATTGGAGCTGGGCTGGGGGTAAAGCTGGGAAACCTGGGCTGAGACAGGTTTGAGAATTTGTTCACTGGGGATCTGACTGATATCAATAATCTCTGCTATGCAAATGAGCACAAAATTGTCTTGTCTAGACCAGAAGCCAGAACTCGGTGGGAGGCGGTGAAAGGGTGTGGTGCAGCGGGAGACAGAAGAATTCATTTCATCTGGGCCTGAACAGAATGAGATATTCATTCACCAGACCAGCTCCAAGGAGGCAGGCAACAACAGAGCCCAGGGGCTAGAAGGTTGCTAAGAGTCCAAGACCAAGGGCTTACAGCAACTGCCAGGCAAATGTGGCGTGGGAATTAGCTAGCAGGAAAAATTTCCACTTTATAAGTCTATTTTCAGGGTTGCTTTTTTTCTTCTTTCTTTCTTTCTTTTTTTTTTTTTTTTTTTTTTTTGGTTTTCGAGACAGGGTTTCTCTGTGTAGTCCTGGCTGTCCTGGAACTCACTCTGTAGACCAGGCTGGCCTCGAACTCAGAAATCCGCCTGCCTCTGCCTCCCAAGTGCTGGGATTAAAGGCGTGCACCACTACCACCCGGCATGGGTTGCTTTTTTTAAAAAACAGGGTCTCATTATATAGCCCAGGCTAGCCTGAAAGTCAGGACCCCCCACCTTCTAAGTGTGTGCTGTCATATTTGGCCATTGAATATTTTCTATTTCTATGTCTATTTAATTGAACTTGAAGTAGGTCTCTGGCTTTTATCCTATTCTTCCCTCCTCTGACCAACTTCCCATTTTCCTAGAGGACTGTTTGGTCTGCCCAACCCCCACCCTTGCAGAGTCTGAGCCTAGGCTGTTCATCATCCCAACCTGGGCAGACAGGGAAAAGGTCCAGAAACTCCGTTATGCACATTTGCATCAGCATCAGTATCACCTCTGCTAGCTTACTTGAGGACATGCTCTTCCTATTGGAAGCTGGGAGGTAGCTAGGTTGGCAGAACGCTTGCCTGGAATGTATAAAGCCCTGGGTTGGATCCCTAGCTCCACATAAGCTAGGCACGCTGAATGAACGGAGCATGTTAGTACACGTTTGTAATCCTAGCACTCACGAGGCAGGAGGATTAAAAGTTCAAGTTTATTCTCACTACATAGCATGTTTGAAGCCAGCCTGGGCTACATGAGACCCTGTCACAAACAAAAAAAAAAAGCCCCCAAACCCACAAGGCCCCATCCTGTTCATTCTGAGAAAAACCTTTATGTACAGTAAATGGCTCCAAGTTCCCACATGACCTGTGCCCAAACATAACCCCTCTTCTCTGGCTTCATCCCCCAGTACTTCCTGCTTTCTTCACACGATGCCAGTCTCACTACCTTCCCAGCATGCTCTACCTCAGGGCCTTTGCAATGGCTCATTCTTTCTGGACATTGTATGCTTAGCTTCCTTCCTTTAAATTCCCTTGTCAATGAAGCACACTGTTCCACCTCCACATAATACAAAATAAAGCCCCGCCCCACAACTTTCTGAAGCTTCTTGCCTTGTTTGACTTTTCTTTTCTGAATAGTAATGATCTGTGACACTATACAATTGACATATTAATTCTATCTCCTATTGTTATTCTGAATATAAGTGTCTTGAGGGTGGAGATCTTGGTTGTGTTCACCACTTTATTTCAGGTGCCTAGAGTGCTGTCTGGTATAAACAGGACTCAATAAATATTTTCAGTGCTATATAAAAAGCTCATCAAGAGGCAAATACCACACTTATCTGACAGGAATATAATGATCATGAAGGTGGTTTTCCAGGGTTAAGCATATTCATTGTGGTCTGGATGTGCTGACCCCTGCAATTTCCCCAAATGAGGGACATTTGACTTCACAATTTATGGCAATGGAAGACTCTGTTCAAGTTCTCTATGAGGATATAGGGGGAGGGGCAAATACAAGATGGCTCAGTGGGTAAAAGTGCTTCCTGCCAAGCCTAATGACCTGAGTTCGAAGGCCAGGACCCACGTGATGGAAGATAAGAACTGACCTCTACAAATTGTCTGAAATCCACATGTATGCTGTGGGATTTTTATAACACACACACAAATAAATGTAATAACAATTTAAATAAAAAATAAAAGAGATGAATGCAAACTGTATGTTGTGGTACTTTTTAAAAAAGATTTACTTATTTAGTGTATTTTATGTAGATAGGTGCTTTGTCTGCATGTGTGCCTGCATACCAAAAGAGGGCACCAGATCCCATTATAGATAGTTGTGAGTGACCATGTAGGTGCTGGGAATTGAACTCAGGAATTGTACTGCCTGGTTTTGTGTGTCAACTTGACGCAAGCTAGAGTTATCATAGAGAAAGGAGCCTCCCTTAAAAAAATACTTCCATGAGACCAGGCTGTAAGGCATTTCCTCAGTTAATGATCAAGTTGGGAGGGCTCCTTGTGGGTGGTGCCATCCCTGGGCTGGTAGTCCTGGGTTCTGTAAGAAAGCAAGCTGAGCAAGCCAAGGGAAGCAAGTCAGTAACATCCCTCCATGGCCTCTGCATCAGCTCCTGCTTCCTGACCTGCTTGAGTTCCAGTCCTGACTTCCTTTGGTGATGAACAGCAATGTGAACGTGTAAACTGAATAAACCCTGTCCTCCCCAACTTGCTTCTTGGTCATGATGCTTGTACAGGAATAGAAACCCTGACTAAGACAGGAATTATTCTTGGAATCTTCCAAGAATAGCCATTGCTCTTAATTGCTGAGCCATCTCTCCAGCCCAGCATTGAAGTACTTATAATTCCAAAGGAGTTTGGGAAAAATAGCAAGATCCTATATAAAAAATGTTTTTAGCAGAGTTTACTCTAGAAATGCTTTTGTGGTTTAAAAAAAATCTATCTATAATTTATTTTCAAGTCTTTGAAGTATTGTTTGGATGGCACTTCCAATGCAGGGGACTACGGAAGTCATACACTGTTGAGGTGTATTCACCATCACTTGAAATATAGTCCCTCTCTTGTGAGAAATCTGTCCATCCATTCTTCCTTCTATCCATTGATCTACCACTCACCCATCTACCCAATCAAGCATGCATTATGAACCACACATCCATTGTTTTGTTCTTCCTTTCATCCACCCATTCTCAGGTACTCATCCACCCACCCACCATCCCTCTATCTATCAGCCATTCCGTCCATCCATTCTTCCATCTACCAGTCATTCCATCCACCCATCAGTCATCCACCCATCAGTCATCCATCCATCAATCATTCCATCCATCCATCCATCAATCAGTCCGTCCATCCATCAGTCATTCCATCCATCCATCAGTCATCCCATCATCTATCAGTCATCCATCCATCAATCATTCCATCCATCCATCCATCAATCAGTCCGTCCATCCATCAGTCATTCCATCCATCCATCAGTCATCCCATCATCTATCAGTCATCCATCCATCAGTCATTCCATCCATCCATCCATCAATCATTCCATCCATCCATCGTCATTCTATCCATCTACTCTTCCTTCCATCCATCCACCCACCCATCATTTATTCATCTACCCAATCTTTTTTTTTCATGTACTTTTCTTTACATTGGTCAGTTGTACTCTTTCTCCACATGCAACTATTCTGATATGTTAGATGTACATCCTTTTTTATATCTGCTCTTGTATAATATCAGAAATATATTTTGATATGTGCTTTTCAGTACATATTTCAGTCTGCTTCCATTTTCTCAGCATGACACGATCTAGCCATCTTGAGCTGAGTCTGTCTGGAGTACTGCCGCTCTAGTTATTTATTATAAATGTGTCTGACGCATGTCACCATTCTAGTTCCCTGGTGATGAATATCCCATTGCTTCCAACACTCGGAGCTTACAAGCAACCCCATTTGTGTGGGGGACAATTTTTAGGCCATAAACCCCAGATTGTTAGTTCTTTAGAATGGCCACATCAATGACACTGTCTCTAGCTGTACGTGACAATTCCGAAATCCACACTTCCACAGCCATACTTGGTTATTATCCAGATATCTCATTTTTTGTTAATGTAATATCAAAAGAGTGTTTTCTAGAGCTGATGCCTCAGTGGTTAAGAAGGCTGGCTGCTTTTCTAGAGAATCTAGGTTCAATTCTCAGCATCTACATGACCGATCATAACCATCTGTCACTCCAGTGCCAGGGAATCTAATGCCCTCTTATGGTCTCTGCAGGCACCACGCATGCAAGCAAGCAACCACCCATACACATAAAATGAAATAAAATAAAATAAAATATTAAAAGGTGTTTTCTGGTAATCTTTTTAATTTGCTCTTCTCTGATTATCATTATTTAACCTCGTGTCTGCTAGCATGTCCTCCTCCGTGCCTCTTTCTACCTCTTCATGGCTGTTACATGCATTTCTACTACAGTTGCAGTATTTTTCATGTTCTGCAGAGTTCCTTACGTCCTTTAGACAGTAATTGCTCACTCCTTAGACATTTGAAAATAGATTTGTCCAATCTGTTACTTGTCACTGTGCCCCTGATTTTCTTTAGCAAGCACAAAGCTCTCAATTTTTGTATCATTAGATTTATCAAAGGGGTTTTTGAGGGGGTTATAAGTTACTCTGCCTGATGCTGTGATAAGAGACCCTGAGAAACTAAACTTAAGAAAAGAAGGGTTTCTTTCTGCTTGCAGTCTTAAGGTACAGTTCATCACAAGGGGAAAAGGGATGGGGCCTGGAGCCTAAGGCAGCTGGTCACATCTTCAGTCAGGAAGCAGCAGGAGCTGAACATTTGGGTTCGGACCTTTCTCTCCTTTTTATTCAGTCTAGAACCCCTCTCCACCAACAGTGTATCCCACAAAGGATGGGTCTTCCCACCTGAGGTAACATGGTCTATATAATTCCTCACAAGTATGCCCAGAGGCTTGTCTCCTAGGTGACTCCAGATCCTATCAAGTTAACCACGAAGATTAACCATGATTAGCCATCATGAGCCATCATTAGCCATGATTAACCATGATTTACCATGTTTAGCCATGACAAGGGGCATTTTACTTGGCTTTACTTTTGTATTTGGAGGTTTCATGTTTTTAAAATATCTTTCATGGCTGGAACGATGCTCAGAGGTTAAGAACATCGGATGCTCTTCCAGGGAATCAAATCATGCCTGCTGTCTCAGCTACTCAGGATACAGAGGCAGCTGGATCAAAAGGTTAAAGTACGCCATGGCAACACAGTGAAACTGCCTAACAGAAAAGGAGAGGCAGGGTATGGCTCAGTTGTGGAGCACTTGCCTGAATTCGGCCCTTATTTCTGAAAAGTCTATCTCTATTTTCTGTTACAAACACTCTTGCTATCCACACTCCAATATTCAGTCTGATTGGAATCTTGCTTTATGTCTGGATTCTGGATTTTGTTTTATTCTTTCCTTAAATTAAGCCATGTCTTAATGTGCTGAGTAATCTCACTTTCCATTAACATGCCCTTAGGTTGGTTTGTCTAGGACTTTCCCGAAAGACCCTCAGTCCACTCTGTTCCCTTTCCCAACTCTTCTTAGTTAGGGTTACTGCTGCTGTGATGAAACACCATGACCCAAAAACAAGTCAGAGAAGAATGAGTTTATTTTACTTATACCTCCATAGAACAGTTCATCATAAAAGGCAGTAAGGGCAGGAACTCAAACAGGGCAAGAACCTGGAGGCAGGAGCTGATGCAGAGGCCTTGAAGGGGTGCTGCCTACTGGCTTGCTCCCCATAGTTTGCTCAACTTGCTTTCTTATAGAACCCTGCACCACCAGTCCAGAGATGATCCCACTAATGATGGGGCCTATCACTAAGAAAACACACTGCATGCCTGTCTACCTACACCCTGGGCCTCTCTCAATCGGGCTTTGTTCCTCTCAGATGACCCTAGCTTGTGTGTTAAATTGACGTAAAAGTAGCCAGCACACTGACAGTGTTTTTACTACTAAGCTATGTAGAATACTATCTCAATTCTTTTAAATTGAGACAACCCTGGCTGGCCTCAAACTCACAATAGATCTGCCTACCTCTGCCTCCCAAATACTGGGCTTAAAGATATTCATAAACAAGCCCAGTTTTCTAGTTTTTAAATGGAACCTGCCTGCTAGTGAGCTAGTACTTTCTTAACTTGTATTGGTTGGAATTACATTTAGTATGTGGATGAACTGGGGGATGCTGGCATCATTTACAGTATTGAGTCAACTATTCTAAGAGCATGAAATTTTCTTCCATACCAAGGATCATTTTCCCCTGTCTTCACTAGCAGTCATCAAGGTAAAATTATTTTCCATATCTGTGTTGGTTAGTTTTTTGTCAACTTAATACAAGTTCAGGGCATCTGAAATAGGGAACCTCCATTGAGAAAATGCCTCCTTCATATTGACCTGTGGACACATTTGTGGGACATTTTCTTGATTGATGTAGAAAGGCCCAGCCCACTATGGGCAATGTCAACCTGAGCGTGTGGAACTGGGTTGTATTTAAAAACAAACAAGAGCCAGCCAGTGGTCTCCATGGTCTCTGCTTCAGTTCCTGCTTTCAAGTTCCTGCTTGAGTTCCTGCCTTGGGTTTCTTCAATGATGAACTGTGATCACAATGTGTAAGATATTCAATATTGGCCCAATGTGATGTATCTTTAAAAGCAAATGTCTGGAAATTAAGAAGTCTTCTGTGGCCTGAAGACAAGGCTAGCCTCTTCTTTTAAGCACCTTGTTACAGAAGAAATGCTAAGGTTCAGAGAAGTGAAATCATCTTCCAAATGTTGCACAGCTTACAGGTAAAATCAGCACTCAGAGCTGCCTGATTTATAATGCTGCCCTCTGTTGGCAGATCTTGGGAAAACAGTAGTTCTGAAGCCCTCCATTCACTCCTCCACTCCCTTGGTGCCCATATAAAGCTGAATAAAGTTAAAATTAGTACA